GCCCTCCGGAGATAGAGAAAAGGAGGAGGAGGCTTAGTCCTCCCCGGAGCAGGGGAGCCGAAACTTCCCGAGCCGGGTATTTAGGACTGCGAGGGGTCAGGTAGGGGGCTGGCCCCCACTCTGGCGGTCCCCCGGGGAAGGGGCGGCACCGGGCGTGGTCCCCCGGCGCCGCCGACCCTACGGGCGGAGTTATGGGGGAGGTGACGCATAAGCACCTCCCCCCGAGGCCGGGGCGCGAGTCACAGGCCGGAAGGGCCGCAGGAACTTGGTACTCCTTCCGCAGCCCTCCCTAGCGTGCCCAACAAGGATCACCGCAGAGGTTTTAGTGGATAAGAATCCCACACTACTCCGCCACCCTCCTCCAGGGGTGGCGAGGGTCTTTCTGAAGATTTAACGAGTCGTCGTTATTTTGTGCTTCCGCTTCTAATCGTTTTTTCGCTAATTTGTCTGCCGATGAATCCTCGTAGACCGGTTTAATTACTTCTAAAATTTTATTACTAAGAGCTGGTTGTACGTCGATGGATATTATTCGTCCAGTGTTCTCTAAATATCTATAACTTCGTTATTTTTACGAATTTGAACAAATCATTCCGAAGACATAATTTCGAAAATCTGAACTATCAGAGAATGCAAAAAACAGATCGATTTTTTGAAAAGTCTAGATTAGAATACCCCTTTAACCCTTATGTCAATAACCGGGTACCCTTTGGCATAATTCTCACTTAAAATATTTCATCTTCCAGGTAAAAGATTGAAATATCCGGCCAGATCGTTGTTATTTCCTATCCGTGTTTGCTTCAAGCTTAAAATTTTGTTATCAGAAAACTACTAAAATTGGACGATAAAGTAGACGACAATTCTGATTATCGACACAAGGGTTAAACGCGGTTTTTTCGAAACCAAGTTTTCCAAAACTGTCCAAAAGTTTCCTGGGAAACTATTGGACCAACTGATTTCCTCCTTATATGTATATACCACATCGCACAAGTGTTATAAATAGCCATAACGTAAATAAATATTCCAAAATAGTTATCAAGCGTCATCGAGTGCACCAAGGCGCCACGGTGGTCACCCGGACCACCAGAAAGATAAACGCCCCATGGGTAAGAATGTTGTCTTATATACCATATATATTACTATTTTGCCATTATATGCTTAGAATAATAAAAATACTTTCGTGGCGTCCTGAGCAAAACATGTGAATAAACGCCCCATGGGTAAGAATGTTGTCTTATATACCATATTTATTACTATTTTGCTATTGTATGCTTAGAATAATAAAAATACTTTCGTGGCGTCCTGAGCAAAACATGTGATTTCGGCGTAGCAGTCAACGTGTTAACCTTGGAATATATCAAACCTCTTCACTTACAAGAAGATGAATAAGTAAACAGTAGAAATGCGAGTCCAGTACATTCACCTGTGCATATTAACATCTGACCTTGTAAGAAAGAATGTTAACATTTTAAATAGTTCTCGAAAAATAACACTGGATTAATTCAAATGAAACGCCCTGCATGATGTTATTCCTCGTAATTCCACTTGTATCATTCATAAGTAGCTCTTTTGATCGTTCGCCGTCGTAGCGTGACTACATCCGCGAATTCTTAATTAGCCGTGATCTGCCTATGCGTGGGAATATACATGCGGATCGTTGCAGGCAAGAAATCTGAATTATACCCTTCTATTCACGTATACGGTTCTATTCATGTAGGTGGGTGAGAATCAAGTATGCCTAAATATTAGTTAATTAGAACATATTCACATCGCACAGTGTTTGTATTTAAAGGATTTGTATTATTCGTCTTGTTTATACCTGATGCAATGCTACTATGTAGATGGAATGTGTATCATATGACGTTTCGTCATTTGACATTTCTTGAACTACCTTTCTTCTTACCTTCGTATTTGCACCATACTTCTACCGTATAGGTCATAAAATGTCATTATATAGTACTTGAACTTTCCTATTTCTCTTCCATTAATGTAAGTAGGTCACTTTATCCCTCCTTAATAATATTAGTAATTTTATTGCAGTGTCGATAGTTTCGTCATTTTTTCGTCTGTATAACACATTAGAAACTTAAATGATACAACAGAAGGATCATAAACAGTAGAGTTACAGATTACACGAAACTTGTTACTTTATTCATGATGTTTTTTTTATTTGTCCGCAGATTGTGCCCCAGAACTGCATCGTTATATGTTCTCACTGAACATTCATCAATGTTTACATGTTCACGAGAAGTATAGTAATATCGAAAAAGTATATTTGTGTTGTATTCCCGTTTACCGTTTAATTAGACAGGATCAGTAGGTACCTATGAGTGTATAATGATTACAGTAATGTCTCTCTAATTGGCAGCCAGCAAGGAACCTAAACATGACAATTGAAGTTTGTACAATTGAACATTTGTAGCTTGCCGAACGAAGACAAGGACAGCGAATAAAAGATAAGGATGAAACGAGAGTTTCAGAGGCGACCAAAATAGAGGCGATAAACTGTTGTTAGAGTGGTTTGTGCAAAGAAGGACACTTGGTGACAATATAACTGACGCTTTAATGTTAGAGAAAGCCATCGATTTAAAAAATAAGGTATCGTTGACTTTTTTTTTTGTTACGCGGAGGAAATCTTCAGAAAGATAGCCCGCTACACCTAGGGGAGGGAGGCGGAGGGTAGTGTGGGATTCTTACCCACTAAAACCTCCGCGGTGATCCTCGTCGGGCACGCTAGGGAGGGCTGCGGAAACTTGGTACTCCTTCCGCAGCCCTCCCCGTGCCTGTGACTCGCGCCCCGACCTCGGGGGGAGGTGCTTATGCGTCACCTCCCCCATAACTCCGCCCACAGGC